TTGGTGACTGGCTTATTTCACCTAAGATTGGGGGTTGAAGATCAATCATAGGCTCATCTCCAAATTTCCTCTTCTCTCTACCAGAATTTTCCCAGATTGTTTAACACAGAGTTTTGTAGTAAGAGCTAGAGAGAAAACTTGCTGGATTTGGGAGGTTTTTTATTGTTGCTTTTACTTATAAGTAGTTGATTCTCATTTGCAGATTCTGCATTTATAAACCTACTGCCCACTAAAACTTATTTATGGCCTTAAAATCAACACAGATGGCTCTCGGCGGTCCTTTGAAGACATGCTGTGCATGTGCGTTCAGTCTCTCAGCCGTGTCCGACTCTTTGTGCCCATGGACTGCAGCCCACCAGACTACTTCTGTCCATTGAATTTTTCAGGCAAGAATGTTGGAATGAGTTGCCATTTCTTACTCCAGGGGATCTTCCTGACAGGGATTGAACCTGCATCTTCTGTGTTGGCAGGCAGATACTTTACCAGTGTGCTGCTTGGAAAGTCCTTGCAGATACATGCAAAGAGGTAATAAGTCCCTGATGCTCACATTCCCAGCTGAGGTTGAACCAGGCAATACTCTGCATTCTTGTCTCAGCTCTCTTACTGTAAACAAGTATCCTGTAAGTGGACTATTTACTGCTTCATTCTTTGCATTTTTGTACTTTCTTTCTGTACTTTCTGGCAATTTTGTTGTTTAAAATAGCCCCCAAGCATACTGCTGAAGCACTGTCTAGTTCCTAAGACTAAGAATTTATTCAGTTCTCCTGGGTTTCTTCAGTGTATGCATGTTATCAAATTTTTGTGTGAAATTCTCCTGTTAACCTGTGTCATGTCCATTTAATTCTTAGACCAGAGAGAAGAATCGAGAAGGATAGAAAAAAATTTCTTTCTCCCCCACAACAAAACATTGCTGAAAGAAATTTAATGAGACATAAACAAATGTAAAGTTGGCCCATACTTATGGTTTAATATGACTTAATACACTAAAAATGACAATACTACTGAAAGTGTTCTACAGATATAATTCAATCCCTACCAAAATCACAATGGCCTTTTTTTTTTTGCAGAAACAGAAAAACCCATCCCAAAATTCATATGGAATTTCAAGGAACCCTAAATAGTCAAAACAATCTTGAAAAAGAACAACAAAGTTACAGGACGCATGCTTCCCTATTTCAAAATTTACTACAAAGCCACAGCAACCAAAACAGTATGGTACTGGCATAAAGACAGACATATAGCCAGTGGAAAAGACTCCAGAGATGAATGCTCACACATATGTTCAAATGATCTTTGACAAGGGGACCAAGGTCACTGAATGGGGAAAGAACCGTCTTTTAACAGCATAATGCTGGGAAGAAGACAACCTCATGCAAAAAAATGAATCAGACTGTTACCCTTCACCATATACAAATACCTCAAAATAAATCAAAGATCTAAATGTAAGAGCTAAAAGTATTAAACTGTAAGGAAAAAAATCTTCATGGCATTGGATATGGCAATTATTTTTTGGATATGACACAAGAACACAGGTAACAAAAGAAGAAAATGCACTGGACATCATCAAAATTAAAAATCTGAAGACACTATCAACAGAGTGAAAACACAAGCCAAGAAGAGGAGAATATTTACAAATCATGTATCTGATAAGAAGTATTCAGAATATTAAAAATGAAACTTGAACAAGCATTTCTGCAAAGTAAACATACAGAGCCAACAGTCTAATGAGAAGATGCTCAATGTCAATAATCAAATGAAATGCAAATGAAAAGCATAATGAGATATCACTTCACAAGCATAAGGTTGGCTATTATCAAAACAAAGGAAAATAAGTGTTGACAATGATATGGATAAATTAGAACCCTTGTGTATTGATCATGGGCATGTAAAATGGTATAGTCACTGGAAAATAGTAGGTTCTTCAAAAAGTTATACCAGAACTGATCATGAGCTAGCAATTCCATTTCAATATATATACTCAAAAGAACTGAAAGCAGGGACTCAAACAGGTATTTGTACACCAATTACCTTGAAAGCACTATTCACAATAGCCAAAAGTTGGAAAAAACTCAATGTCCACCAACTGATGGATGGATATAACAAAATGATGGATGGAAAAACAAAATTAATATTATTCAACCTTAAAAAGGAGTAAAATTTCAATACATCAAAAACATGAATGAACTTTGAAGAAATTATGTGAAGTCAAATAAACCAGACATAAAAGGATATATAATTCACTTAAATAAGGTAACTACAATAGGAAATTCAGAGAGACAGGAAGCAGGATAGAGGTCATTAGGGGATGTGAGCAGGGCAGGTGAATCAGGAGGCAAGGAGTACAACCTTTAAAGGAAATCAGAGCATTGGATACGACATAACCTGGTCAGACCCAACTAGGTCTGAGAGGGCAGAAAATTCGACTTCCAGTGGACTTTAAGCCTCATTATATGCTTATTGTAATACACCAGCTAAATGACACCCCACAAGTGCCATGACAACTCCATAAAAGGTCAACAACTGGGCAGTGGCTCAATTCCCAGAAACCCCCGCACCTGCCAAGACAGAATAATCCTCCCACTCATTAACCTATGAAGTTACTCAGCCCATAAAAACCACCCACTCTAATTTCAGGGCCTCTCACCTTCTGAGATGCCCCACACTATCTGAGGAGCATATTTTTCCTGGCACCATTCTCACCTTTTAAGACAGATGGAATTCTGTCTGTGGAATGTGTATCTCTCTAAATAAATCCACTTCTTACCTATCGCTTTGTCTCTCACTCAATTCTTTCTGCTATGAGGCATCAAGGACCTAAGCTTCATTAAGTCCTGAGAGCAGGTGTGTGATCTCAGTTAAAAGACAGTGGGTTCAAGCCCCAATCTGAGCTGTATGGTTTCAGGGGGATGGGGGTGGGGTGGAGGTGAGGAATGGAGAGTTACTGTTGAGTGTTCTGTTAGAGATGATGAAGGTTCTGGAAATGGGCAGTGGGGAGCGTTGCACAATACTGTGAATGTATGTGATGCCACATCGACAAATAGTTTAAATGGTGTATTATATGTTATATATGTTTTACCACAATAAAAAGTCTGACAAGATGAGTGATGTAACTATGGATATGAATTTATAACTTTCTATATGAATATAAGAGGTATAAATATAACAAGTGGTACATAAGGAGCTTTAGGTTATCCAGGCCAAATAGTTGTATACACTAGAAGAATGTGCATCTGTCAGAGGGCAAGTTTAATCAAGTGAATAATGTAGACTGTATGCTTAGAAATGTGCTCAGTACTACACATTAACACTATTTTAAGGATCCATTAACTTATTCTAATTAAATGCTTATTTCTGTAAGACTCTTCAACTCAAAACTAATTTTCTTCCTTGAGTTCCATGGCTAATTTGTGTCTTTGTATGGCAGGAACCAACACAACGTTGTAAAGCAATTTCCCCCAGATAAAAATAGATTTAAAAAAAACTGGAAAAAATGAGGTACAAACAAAAAGAAAAATAAGTCCCTCTGCTGTTCACCTGAAACTATCACAACATTGTTAATCTGCTAAACCTCAATATAAAATTAAAAATTCAAAAGAAAAAAATGAATAATGAAGGAATCTGTAAATATCTACACAAAGATTTGTACACAAATGTTCACATCAGCATTAATCATAACAGCCTCAAACTGGAAACAACCTGAATCCCCATTAGCAGGTGAATGGATAAACAAGCTGTGATACAGACACAGCAGAATGGTACTCAGCAAGAAAACAGAATGAACCACTGAAAAGAAATGCAGTAACATGGGTGAACCTCAAAAGCACTGAGCTGAGCCAAGGCCAGACAAAAGTCTACACCTTCCATGATTCCACAGAACATGTGAAAGTTAACCTCAGTGACAGAAGGACGCCAGCGACTGGGGCCTGATGCGGTGGGACCGGGGAGGACGCCCAGCTCTATGCATTGACGTGGATCTTCTCTATCCACAGCCTACATTCTGTGAGATCACTCTGCACACTTCATAAAGTTGTGACCGTCCCTCTAAACACAGGTACAATGAAATGGCACAGAGCATTTAAAACAAGGCAGCTAATGTTAGTGACCAGGTTATAAGTATCTATAAAGAAGCTAATATATAAACAATTTAAAATTAAGTTAAGGGTGAGCACAGTTTCTTTATACCTTTGGTAGTATGAAAACAATCACCTTGGGAAAACAGACTAGGGTAAGTCTTTAAAAACAAACTGGTTCTAACTGACAGTTTTAAAGTGATATACAGTAGATCTAGCTGATTATGTTTTTGAAGAACTCTTTCAGAAAAGGAGTTTTTTAGGGTAAGCAGTCAGGTAATTTCCCCATTTCCTTTTGAATTATGAGAGGAAGACCGCAGTCTGAAGAATTTAAGGCTAGCAAATGATGGTTTCAAAAAAAGGGAAATTAATGGTTTTTCATCTTAATATTTTGTACATGTTTTCAGAAACATACCACCACACAATGAAGCAAATTCTGTTGAAATTTTCGATTTGAATACTGAAATCTATCTGACCGAAAAAGTTCTAGTATGGGTCCCAGATCTCCTATAGAAAAGTACAAAGTTGTAAAACTAAAAGCATATTACATTACTTACCTATATTTTAAGTTTCTCCAAGCCTCTAGCACTTACATTGCTGCTGCTGCCGCTAAGTCACTTCAGTCGTGTCCAACTCTGTGTGACCCCATAGACGTCAGCCCACCAGGCTCCCCCATCCCTGGGATTCTCCAGGCAAGAACACTGGAGTGGATAGCACTTACATTACACATGAGTAAATAAAGCTCAGAGAGGTTATGCACCTTACCCAAACTGCCAGGCATCGGAGCTGTGATTTAAAACCAGATGATTTTAACTCTGAAACCCATGTTCTAGGCACCATGCTGCAATGCTTCCACAAGAACTCAATCTCTCTGAGAGGTCTAGGTAAACGTGGAAGAGTGACAGTGTAATTCTGTAAAACTCCACTTACCTTCAGGGGACGCAGAGCACCACAGAATTTTGTCCACCAGCTACTTTCAATGAATTCTAAGTGCCTCTCTCTTTTCCGAAGTGTTCGTAACCTTTCTTCAAATTGTTTTAAGGCGCGTCTATCCCTTGCTGGCAAAGGTCGACCATCTTTGCTCTGCAAATAATAGAGCAAAATAAAAGTTTTTTTTTTTTTCTTTACCATTAAGGTCTTAATAAAGTACCCATCAGATTTAGCAAGATTCAAACAACAAAAACTTTTTTAGGTTGGACTTGAATCCTGAGGCAAATTTACAAACTGAAGGAAAAAAGCAAAACCCAATAACTTCTATGTGAGAATACACATCTCTGAACCAAGGTCAATGTCAAAATGTGATGTGAATGTGTGCACATTTAAAGCTGAAGTTTTCTTGATCCCTATTTTCCAAATACTCAATATGGTAAAGTTATATGGAGACAGATAATACTTTTTTTTAAACACCCCTTTTATGAGGCACTTTATGTTCTCTGCTTGATTACTCTCCTTCACCTCCAAATTCCTCATGCTATCCCTTCACATACCCAGCACTACGCTCCTCCTCCCCTTGGTCAAGAGACTGTGCTCCAGTGTTTACCTGGGCTGATGCTCCTCGGTCCCTGACTCAAACACCAGCAGAGGGATGTAGGATTAGGATGTGCTGAGCATAAGATTTTACAACAGTTGCTAAGAACTGGCACTTTCTTACTCTCCTGTGAATGAGTCAGGTTTTCTTTGGCTTACCTCTCGGAAAGACAATTCCCCCATACTTTCATATGGTATCTACTGTAACCGTGAGCAGTACCTTTCTGTGGTGTCAGGGACACGTTCCCTCGCAAACTCCCCCTGCCCCGAAGTGCCTTCCACCAGGTACAGGAACAAACCACAATCATCAGACAACTGCGAAACACTTAAGAAGGTGAAATCTACATTCGCTTTTATTGGAAGGACCAAGAAAGTCTTTACACAGGACATTTTTATTACTTTTAATTTTGGGGCAGCACCATATGGCGTATGGGGTCTCAAGTTTCCTGACCAGGGATGGAACCCTTGTCCTCAGCAGTGAAAGTGCAGAGTCCTAACCACTGGACTGCCAGGAAATTCTCAGCATCGTTTTACAATGTAAAAACATTAGATAATTAGAATGTTAAACTCCTTTCAAGGTTCAAACAGGATGTTGGGAGAGACAGCACACAGTGCTCTGTAACACAGTCCGGGGTACCTCGTGTGAAATAACAGACACATGCAGACCGTGCCCGGACACCCCTTCATCAAGAGATGCGCATGGTCACAGTGATCACCACACAGATGCACTGCCAAGCTCTTCTGGACCCGGCCATCTCTTCCTTACTACGCTGTTTCCCAAACTTCATCATACCCAACAATCAACAGGACATTTCATTAAGCACAGGTTTCTAGACCCCACCCCGAGAGAATATAACTCAGTTAGGTCTTGAGTGGGGCCTATAGTTTGCTTTCCTACCAAATTCCCAGGAGGTCCTGATGCTACTGGTCCAGAGACCATGCTCTGTGTGGAAAGTGCAAAGTGTGAGTCACTCAGTCATGTCTGACTCTTTGCAACCCATGGACTGTAGCCCGTCAGGCTCCTCTGTCCATGGAATTCTCCAGGCAAGAATACTGGAGTGGGTTATCATTCCCTTCTCCAGAGGATCTTCCTGACCCAGGGATCACACCCGGTCTCCTGCATTGCAGGCAGATTCTTTACCAGCTAAACCACCAGGGAATTACACGGGACTATATTTAACTATCTTCACTGCTTTAAGTACACTGCTTACTATCAAAGTGCATCCTCAAAGGAACCTTACAGAAGGGTATTTTCTGAAGACTAAAGGAATGAAACACTCCCCTCCACAAGACAGATCCAGGCCACCACACTTCAATCATGCAGTACTTCACAGTTTTTCTCACAACTGCCATTCTAACATCAAAAGGACACCAACAAGGTAGATTTACTTCACGGCTGGTTTTCGATATTTCAGGGAAAAAAATCTTTTTTAGTAAACTGATTTAAGGATCCACTGAAACACAAGCTCAATTTATCTGCCTATTTGAGTGAGGGACGGAGCCCGCACTGTTGTGCCAACAGCATAAACCAGTGTCGGAAGAAATGTGCTCAAATGCACACCAGGAAAGGCACCTAGAAGTCAACCAATTATTTCCTTTGGGGGAAAAAAATGTAGTTACATTGTATATGGGCAAAAAGGCTTCCCTTCACATGGTCCCCCAGTGACCACTCCCTCTTTTGAGGTTACCACTGTCACAGAAACCAACAGAGATCAACAACATCCAACACAAAATCCTATATGTCCCTCTAGGCAAACACACTGATGATTTACATAAGAGCTAACATTTCCTGTGCCTAAAACTGATTTGTTCTTTTATGTTTGTTCTCCTTAAATCTTCAGAATAAAACTTTGAGGCTGGTAACGGCAATTTATTCATTTATTCAGTCAGTTCAGTTGCTCAGTTGTATCTGACTGACTCTTGACAACCCCATGGACTGCAGCACACCACGCCTCCCTGTCCATCACCAACTCCCGGAGCTTGCTCAGACTCATGTCCACGGAGTCGATGATGCCATCCAACCATCTCATTCTCTGTCACTCCCTTCTCCTCCTGCCTTTAATCTTTCCCAGCATCAGGGTCTTTTCCAATTAGTCATTTCTTCTCATTAGGTGCCAAAGTATTGGAGTTTTAGCTTTAGCATCAGTCCTTTCAATGAATATTCAGGACTTATTTCCTTTAGGATGGACCGGTTGGATCTCCTTGCAGTCCAAGGGACTCTCAAGAGTCTTCTCCAACACCTCAGTTTAAAAGCATCAATTCTTTGGCGCTCAGCTTTCTTTATAGTCCAACTCTCACACCCATACATGACCACTGGAAAAACCATAGCCTTGACTAGACAGATCTTAGTCAGCAATGTCTGTTTTTTAATATGCTGTCTAGGTTGGTCATAGTTTTAGATGAGGAAAATAAGAGCACGTTTTCCCCTTCTATTTCCCATGAAGTGATGGGACCAGGTGCCAGGATCTGAGTATTTTTAGTTTCTAGCCAACTTTTTTACTCTCCTCTTTCACCTTCATCAACAGGCTCTTTAGTTCCTCTTCGCTTTCTGCCATCTGAGTGGTATATCTACATATCTGAGGTTGTTCATATTTCTTCCAGCAATCTTGATTCCAGCTTGTGATTCATCCAACCTGGTATCTTGCATTATGTTCTCTGCATATAAGTTAAATGAGCAGGGTGACAATATACAGCCTTGACGGATTCCTTTTCCAATGCTGAACCAATCAGTTGTTCCATGTCCAGTTCTGTTTTTTTGTTGTTGTTGTTGTTTTGGGGTTTTTTTTGAGCCAAATATTGGCTTCTCAGAGAGCAGTTTGTAAGGTGGTCTGGTATTCCCATCTCTTTAAGAATTTTCCACAGTTTGTTGTGATCCACACAGTCAAAGGCTTTAGTATAGTCAATGAAGCAGATGTAAATGTTTTTCCTGGAATTCCCTTGCTTTCTCTGTGATCTAATCAATGTTGGCAATTAGATCTCTGGTTCCTCTGCCTTTTCTAAAACCAGTTTGTATATATGGAAGTTATGGGTTCATGTACTGTGGAAACCTAGCTTAAAGATTTTGAGTATTACTTTGCTAGCATGTGAAATGAGACCACTTGTGGGATAGTCTGAACATGCTTTGGCATTGCCCTTCTTTGGGACTGGAATGAAAATTGACCTTTTCCAGTCCTGTGGCCACTGCTGAGTTTTCCAAATTTGCTGGTGTATTGAGTGTAGCACTTTCATAGCATCATCTTTTAGGACTTGAAATAGCTCAGCTGGAATTTCATCACCTCCACTAGCTTTGTTCGTAGTGATGCTCCCTAAGACCCACTTGACTTCACACTCCAGGATGTCTGATGTTAGGTAAGTGACCACACCACTGTGGTTATCTGATTCATTAAGACCATTTTAGTACAGTTCTTCTGTGTATTCTTGCCACATCTTCTTAATTTCTTCTGCTTGTTAGGCCCTTATTGTTTATGTCTTTTATCGTGTCCACCCTTGCATGAAATGTTCCCTGATACCTTCAGTTTTCTTGAAGACATCTCTAGTCTTTCCCATTCTATTGTTTTCCTTTGTCATTTTTCATTGTTCATTTAAGAAGACCTCCTTATCTCTCCTTGCTATTCTCTGGAACTCTACATTCAGCTGGGTTTACCTTTCCCTTTCTCCTTTGACTTTTACTTCTCTTCTTTTCTCAGCTATTTGTAAGGCTTCTTCAGACAACCACTCTGTCTTCTTGCATTCCTTGTTCTGTGGGATAGTTTTGGTCCCTTCCTCCTGTGCAATGTTAAGAATCTCTGTCCATAGTTCTTCAGGTACTCTGTCTACCAGATCTAATCCCTTGAATCTGATCATTTCCTCTACTGTTTAATCATAAGGGATTTGACTGAGGTCATACTTGAATGGCCTAGTGGTCTTCCCTAATTTCTTCAATTTAAGCCTGAATTTTGCATAAGGAGCTCATGATCTGAGCCACAGTCAGCTCCATGTCTTGTTTTTGCTGACTGTATAGAGCTTCTAGCCATCTTTGACTTCAAAGAACATAATCAATCTGATTTCAGTATTGACCTGATGGTGATGTTCATGTGTAGAGTCATCTCTTCAGTTGCTAGAAAACCATGTTTGCTATGACCAGCATGTTCTCTTGACAAAACTCTGTTAGCCTTCACCCTGCTTCATTTTGTACTCCAAGGCCAAACTTGCCTGTTATTCCAGGTATCTCTTGACTTTCTACTTTTGCATTACAATTCCCAAAGATAAAAATATATCTTCATTAGGTGTTAGTTCTAGAAGGTGGTGTAGGTTTTCATAGAAATCAGTCAACTTCAGCTTCTTTAGCTTCAAGGGGGTGGGGCATAGACTTTTATTACTGTGATATTGAATGGTTCGCCTTGGAAAAGAACTGAGATCATTGTGTCACTTCTGAGATTGCATCCAAGTACTGCATTTCGGACTGTTTTGTTGACTATGATGGCTACTCCATTTCTTCTCAGGGATTCCTGCCCACAGTAGTAGACATAATGGTCATCAGAGTTAAAGTCACCCATTCCTGTCCATTTTAATTCATTCATTCCTAAGATGTCCATGTTCAATCTTGCCATCTTCTGCTTCACCACATCCAATTTGCCTTGATTCATGGACCTACCATGCTAGGTTTCTATGAATTATTGTTCTTTGCAGCATCAGACTTTACTTTCAACACCAGACACACCCACAACTAAGCATGTTTCTGCTTTGACCCCGCCCCTTCAATCTCTCTGGAGCTATTCATAGCTGCTCTCCACCCTTCCCCAGTAGCATACTGGACACCTTCCAATCTGGGGGGCTCATCTTCCAGTGTTGTATCTTTTCACCTTTTCACACTGTCCATGGGGTTCTCCAGGCAAGAATACAGGAGTGGTTTGCCATTTCCTCCCCCAGTGGGCTGTGCTTTGTCAGATCTCTGCGCTGTGACAGGTCCATCTTGGGTGGCCCCACACATGCGAGTCCCTTCACTACAACAATGCTGGAATTCACCAAAGCATGCAAACTGCTGTATTAAACTTTAATTATTAAAAGGTACATGTTATGTGTTTGGGCACATGTGACAACATCCAATTTTCTTTAGAAATCTGTGTATTTTATATTCGCACAAACTATCCCCATACTCTCACATGACAAAGGTAAAATTTTTAACACTTTCAAAGGATTAAAAAAAAAATACTGAGTTGCTTTAATTTCCAGCCATCCTGGTTTTAGTATTGAAAGTCCCATGTTCTGGAAAACTCCTTACAAAGCATGCAAAGTGGGATCTAAGTGAACTTCATTACTGAATGAATGAATGAGCTGAAAGATCATTTCATATTTTCACTGATCAGGTTAATTTCTCCTTCAGTATACTGTCTATTTAGGTCTTTTGTTCATTATTTCTATGTATTGCTTGTCCCTTCTTCTTCTTAACTTACAGATGTTCAGTATATATCACCTATTTTGCAGATTCAGTTCAGTTATTCAGTCATGTCCGACTCTTTGCGACCCCATGAATCTCAGCACGCCAGGCCTCCCTGTCCATCACCAATTCCTGGAGTCAATTCAAACCCATGTCCACTGAGTTGATGATGCCATCCAACCATCTCATCCTCTGTTGTCCCCTTCTCCTCCTGCCCTCAATCTTTCCCATCATCAGGGTCTTTTCAAATGAGTCAGCTCTCCACATCAGGTGGCCAAAGTATTGGCGTTTCAGCTTCAACATCAAACCTTTCAATGAATATTCAGGACTGATTTCCTTTAGGATGGACTGGTTGGATCTCCTCACAGTCCAAGGGACTCTCAAGAGTCTTCTCCAACACCACAGTTCAAAAGCATCAATTCTTCGGCACTCAACTTTCTTTATAGTCCAACTCTCACATCCATACATGACCGCTGGAAAAACCACACCCTTGACTAGACAGATCTTTTTTGGCAAAGTAATGTCTCTGCTTTTTAATATGCTATCTAGGTTGGTCATAACTTTCCTTCCAAGTAGTAAGTGTCTTCTAATGTCACAGCTGCAATCACCATCTGCACTGATTTTGAAGCCCAAAAAAATAAAGTCTGACACTGTTTCCCTGTTTCCCCATCTATTTCCCATGAAGTGATGGGACTGGATGCCATGATCTTTGTTTTTTGAATGTTGAGCTTTAAGCCAACTTTTTCACTCTCCTCTTTCACTTTCATCTTTGGTTCTTCTTCACTTTCTGCCATAAGGGTGGTGTCATCTGCCTATCTGAGGTTACTGATATTTCTCCCGGCAATCTTGACTCCAGCCTGTGCTTCTTCCAGCCCAGCATTTCTCACGATGTGCTCTGCATGTAAGTTAAATAAGCAGGGTGACAATATACAGGCTTGATGTACTCCTTTTCCTATTTGGAACCAGTCTGTTGTTCCATGTCCAGTTCTAACTGTTGCTTCCTGACCTGTATACAGGTTTCTCAAGAGACAGGTCAGGTGGTCTGGATTATTTCCTCTCAAAATACTGTTAGTTCTTTAAATTCCTTTTGGTGCCACTTTTTTGGGTACATAAATTTAAAAACATAAAAATTTAAAACTTAACAATTTCTTAATTTGCACTTGAGTTCTGAGTCGTGTTTAGAAAACTCCTCTACAAAACAAAACACAATTTTACTTTTACTTTCTCCTAATGTTTTCTAAATGTATTTGATTTAAATTTTGAATGTGTTTTATTACATGGTAGGAGGTTTATGAAAATTTCATTTTTTATCTTTTATACATGGTACTCAATTTCCACCTAAACTTATGAAAAACTCTCATCTCTACATTATTGAATCTTCCCAATTAGGAACTGAGGAAGTTCTTCATTTATTTCAATCCTCTATTATTTCAAAAAATTTTATAATTTTCACTAGGAAGATTCTGACATTTCTTATTATTTTATAGTTCACCGTTACTGTGAGTGAGATCATTTTCTATTACATCCTCCACCCGGATGGATTTTGTGTGATTTTTGAATGATTTTGTACATATGAACGGGCACCTTGATGAACTTTTATTAGTTCTATTAGTTTGTCAGTTTATTCTTTTCGATTTTTTTGGTAGATGAGATCTTCAAATAACACAAGTTACTTCCCTTTTCTCCCCTCTTCCTCCCACATTTCTTATCTGACCAAGACCTCCAGGAACAGGACAGACACCACTGTCCTATATGTGCCTTTAACAAAAACATTCCTTTCCTCATTAGGTATGAAGCTCACGGAGGCTTCCTTTGCTAAATAGCTTCGTCTTTTCCCATTTGCTAAGACTCTTCTCTAAACATAGTAATTACAAATTGGCTCTAAATAAAGACTCATTGGCATCTATTAGGATGTTTATATTTCTCATTTATTCTCAATATATTGAACTACTTTATTTTCTAACATATCATCTTTGCATTCCTGGGATAAACCTAATCTGACAATTGTGAAATATTTCCTTACTACAGCAACATTTTTGAATTGCAAATATTTTTACTTATATTGAATTATTTGCCTCTACTTTCATAAGAGAGACCAGTCATATAAACAGTTTTTTGTGTGTGTGTCATATTACCATCTGGTTTCTATATCAGGATTATCATAGTTTAACAGAATAATTTAGAAAACTTTCCATTTTTTCCTATGCTCTATAAATAAGATTTATGTCTTACTTGAAGGTGATAGAGGAAGAAAAACTAGTACATAAAACCTGAACATAAGTGATACAGTGCACTCTGATATTGCACATGAAATCAGCATACCTGGGAACTAGCAAAGTAATGGCCATACATAAGTAGAATTTCTGTGTTTTAGTTGTTAGACACAGATAAAAATTCTCCAACTGTCAGTGTCCTACATTTTACAGAAGGTAGTTTTTTAAAGACATGCTTCTTTAAGGATATGTTGCACAAAAATTCAAACAGTATCAAAATATAGGCTCACCAATGTCTAAGGCACAACAGAAAGCAGCACAAAGACAAAGTGCTTTCATGACCCTCAATGGCAATAAAACACCAGCTCACCTTTGATTTAATTGTTTGGATGTGCTGCTCCACTTCTTCGATATCTTCAGTGTTTTCCAGACGCTCATAAGCAGCACTTCGCGTGCCTTTAATCAGATTTAAAGGTAGCGCCGACATGCCATAGGCCTGAAAGAAACAAAAGTAAGACTAATGTTAGCAATACTATTTTAAATATATTAATACACAATTTTCAGGTAAAATAAATGTCCTTTGAAGTAGTAACACAGAGTGAGCAGTTGTGAGGGTCACAGTCACTGAAGAGCAGAGTCAATGGGAGTGAACTGTGAGCGTGTGGTCTTGGGATTCTCCTGTTTAATACACATCTAGTTATACAGAGTGATGTCTGTCATACTAACTACTCCTAGAATAGACTATTGCTCAAAGGACAAGTTACAAAATTAATGCAAATATAATACTTTATCAAAGCAATACATCATAACTGCAGGCTAATCAGGGATTAAGATAGTCTAAATCAATCAGTAAAAAAAACAAATTTACAAAATTATTTTCTGTGGAAAAAATTTTATCCAAGTAAATGCAGTAAACTCTCAGTAAAATGTATTTTAATACACATGTTATTTCATTAGCATACAATTATTTGTACATAGTTTATTTGTAAGTTCTAAACATTTATAATCTTTTTGCCAAGTATTTTAATTCCTACAAGAAATTTTAAAATGTTACTCAGCATTAAGAATAAACATTATTTTATATTACCCAATTCTATCTAGCCAGATCCAAATGTGAAGTTTTATTGTAACTATTAAAAACACTTAATAGCAATTGCCATGTGACCATTATCCAAAATCGATATTGACCTTAAATCCTTAGAAACAAAATTGACAACCATCATCTCCTTGTTGCAGCAACAGTAAATACAAAATTATGCATTTAAATCTTTTACATTTTCTACCTGAGATACTGCCAAACTACTTTAGCCATCATGGTCATGTTAGGCAGGCTTAGGAGACTGAGTTCAAATAATAAATGTGGGCAGAAGTGACCAATGCTACTACTTCTTAGGCTTAAACCCAGGCTTAACTCCAAACTCTAAAATGTCCTGGGTGACCCTGCAGATTTTCTCTCATGCTCTCTGCTACCTGGTTTTTAACTCCCAGGATGATCTCAAATACGTCTAGTGTCATTTTTAATCATTTTGATATTCTCACTGGGTCTCCTTTAGACATTGATTAAATATTGACTATATCACAATTCATATATGTAACCATAAACTCTGACATATCAGGGTTCTTTTTTAATTAACAGAGAATGCAAACAAAGAATATGATTAAAAGGAATTCAGAAATCACCAGTTCTATCAAGTAAGAGCAATCCTATAGCTTGTTGTATTTAGATAATTAACTAGCTGAAATTATTACCCAATATGCAAATCCTTGCATTTTCTAAAGGAGAAATACTTAAAATCTTGCATTTTAAATATTGTTAAAACATAAGTTAATGTCCTCATGATTTCCACATCAGCCAAAAACAAAAAGGAGAGGTTGGGGAAAGGTTCTGTTTGTATTTGAAAAAATATATAATTTGGACAGAGTAGAATAATTTTCTTCTAATTAAATTCTTGTCAAGTTTATACTCCTAATGACCTTAGTAAAATACAAAAAGGAAATACATAATAAGGTTTAAATTATTTTTAACAGTAAATTTTATATCCTCAAAACACTGAAACTGTAAAGAAAAAAGTCTATGAAAGACAAGGTGCCCAGAGATTTCTGTTGTACAGTCACCCAGTCGTGTCCGATTCTCTGCAACCCCATGGACTGCAGCACACCAGGCCTCCTGTCCATCACCAACTCCCAGAACTTGCTCAATCTCATGTCCACCGAGTCAGTGACGCCATCCATCCATATTATCCTCTGTCGTCCCCTTCTCCTCCTGCCCCCAATCTTTCTCAACATCAGGGTCTTTTCCAGTGAGTCAGCTCTTTGCATCACGTGGCCAAAACACTGGAGCTTCAGCTTCAGTCCTTCCAGTGAATATTCAGGATTGATTTCTTTTAGGATGGACAGGTTTGATCTCCTTGAGTGCAATCCACAGAGGTTGTTACCATCCCCTTATCAGTTCAGTTCAGTTCAGTCACTCAGTCGTGTCCGACTCTTTGAGACCCTATGAATCGCAGCATGCCAGGCCTCCCTGTCCATCACCAACTCCCGGAGTTTACTCAAACTCATGCCCATCGAGTCGGTGATGCCATCCAGCCATCTCATCCTCTGTCGTCCCCTTCTCCTCCTGCCCCCAATCCCTCCCAGCATCAGGGTCTTTTCCAAAGAGTCAGCTCTTCGCATGAGGTGGCCAAAGTATTGGAGTTTCAGCTTCAGCATCAGTCCTTCCAATGAACACCCAGGACTGATCTCCTTCAGGATGGACTGGTTGGATCTCCTTGCAGTCCAAGGGACTCTCGAGAGTCTTCTCCAACACCATAGTTCAAAAGCATCAATTTTTCGGTGCTCAGCTTTCTTCACAGTCCAACTCTCACATCCATACATGACCACTGGAAAAACCATAGCCTTGACCAGACGGACCTTTGTTGGCAAAATAATGTCTCTGCTTTTTAATATGCTATCTAGGTTGGTCATACCTTTCAGGACTGTCCTATTCCTGTTCTTCTAGCAGCTTCACACCTTTTAAACATTACTGAAAAAAGTAAATCCTTTAAGACTTTGAAGAGTATTACATGATGATCCTTCACTCATTCTCCAGTCTTATATATCATTTTATCACAAGTCCATATTGCTATTTATAACCAACTGCCAAGGCAAAAAATACTTTGCTGAACCCAGTTTATGCCCAGGTATATTTCTCTGTCTTACCAACCAGTTTCAAAGGAGGCTTATTTTATCTCAATGCTTGCTATTCTGTTTGATGGATCTGGATCTCTAAATATACTAACCTCAGAACTCAATAGTATTTCCTAAGGAATCTGTACCCTACTCAGCATTAAAAACGTGGCCCCTACTTAGAGTTTACTGTCAAATGTAAAGTAATCTAAGTTTTCTTAACCAGTTTGCTGGTCTCCCTCACTACAAATTCATCTTCCACACTGTTTCTGAAGCAATCTCTCACACTCAAGTTAGATTGTGGCATTCCTCTAGCTAACATCCACTGAGTCTCCCCAGGACCAATAAGGGTGTTTGCGCTGGCGCGAGTCCCTGGGATTCTGGGCTGGGGCCATCAGAACCAACAGAGCAGATAAGAGGGCAGGGAGACGAGGGGTCCGCTGCCACTCCCGCCAGAGTGAGGCTACTCCATTTACCTATTTTTATATGTATCAGAATTTCACGGATGACTGTTTGAAAAAGCAGTTTTGCAATTTTTTTCCTTTTTTTCCAGTGAGAGGATTACCAGTCTTCTGACTAGGCACTATTATCTAATCCTGGCCTATAAAAGCTCTTCAAGACCCAGCACTACCACCCTGATCTGTGCCTCCAAATGCTCATAGCTCCTCATCACTGCAGCTTCAAGCCTTCAGCTCTGCCCCAGGGCCACACTCAGAAACTGCAGTGCCTTATCTAAAACTGCTTCCCTGCTCACCTTACCAAGTCCAATGCCCTTCAGGTCTCAGCTTAATCACACCACATCTGAGAAACCTTCCTTGACTTGTAAATGTGCCTTGCTTATAAGTGCAGAACACTGGACATGAACATTACTGTTCTGCACATCTGTTTTATTACTAGGTCTTCCAAACTTGTAACTTATCAGAATCACGCAGCAAGTTCCTGACAAGACAGATTTCTCAGCCAAAGGAGTAACAACTGCAGTAGACTGTTTGATATGTAAGGACTAGGTCTGTTTTTCTTTTTCCTACCTTTTTCAAGAGCGAACATAAAATAACTTCTCTAAGAAAATAATACTTAACCAAAATATCATTTTAAAGAGTTCTTTATTCACATGAACTCTCTTCCTGACATGGAATTTATACATTTTTTAGAAGAGTTAAATTGAATTCCTATAGCTTACATAAATAGAGTAATGCAAAAATTTTGGGGAAAAAAATGTATGTCCTTCACAACACCCTGTGGTAACATAAGGCAAGAATACAACATCTTTTTGGGAATTACTCTCTGAAGACAACATGTGAAAGAAAGTAATTACTGATTTGGTTACCTAGCTTGTATCTGGATTACATGCTTAAGTTTCAGTGACTATCAGGAAATTTAACTATAACATTTAGATTATGATAGATGACATAACACATTATACAAAGTATTTGTTCATTACAACTTTAAGATCCTTAAACAACAATCTTTTAATTTTAACCTCAGATTTCTTTGAAAAACTTGTATGAAAACTATCATTTTTCAGAAGCACAAAACTTGCATTGCTTACTACTGCCCTCTAGTGAAATACCAGAAAGTCAACAAGGCTAAAGAGATTATATCACTTAAAATGCTTCCAGGTCAGCCATACTTGCCTCTATAATATCATTTGTTCCAATTTCCAAAAATAAACCACCATCTGTATTTTAAAACTCAAATGTTTTGAAAGAACATATACAAACTAACACATCTCTAATATGCTCTTGCCTCATGAAAACAGCACATTTTCCCTGCCATCTCTATGTTTTGTAGACAACTCAAGTATTGCCTATAAACTGAACACATGTCCTGCATATATTTATAAAACCTATTATTCAAGGACATGGATGTTGAAAGTAGTGAAACAACATGTATTCAGTGAAGATTTCCAGTCTAAATATTCAGATTCTAAAATACATGTATGTATGTATATGTGTGTGTGCGTATGTCATTGGTAGTTTAGTTGCTAAGTCGTGTCCAACTCCTGCGACCCCATGGACTGTAGTCCACCAGGCTCCTCTGTCCATGGGATTTCCCAGGCAAGCATACTGGAGTGGGTTGCCATTTCCTTCTCCAGGGGATCTTCCCAACCCAGGGTCTCCTGAACTGCAGGTGGTCTCCTGAATTACAGGCAGATTCCTTACCAACTGAGCCACCAGGGAAGGTGTGTGTGTGTGTGTGTGTGTGTGTGTGTGTGTGTGTGTAATTTTTTTCCCTCACATTTAAGATCAGAGAAATCTGAATGCATCTTATGAACACAGGCAAGGCAGAAGTCATGGCACAGTGGTCATTATCCAGATATTCACAAATTTGGTCATAGCTGATTATATTACACGTACTTGTCTAGTAGAGTTACAAGCATTTGTGGTACAGCTACTGAGTTAAACTGCCACTTACAATGTCTTATAAGATAGTACTCTGATTTGACATTAAAGCAAAAAGTTAATGTGTAAGGAAACACAGAACAAAAGAGCAGGCAGTGAAGCAAAAATTTACTGGAACAATTATGATTCCACATTTTCTTGCAATGCAATAGTCAAAGGCTTTATAAGCTTAAGAAAGGAAGGTACCCAAAGTAGAAGACATTTTTGTATTTTGCTACTCAGGTTACAAGAGAAGAAACAATAATGAAACAAAAACAAGAACAGCTTAAATTTACACAGTGGGTGTGTCAGCAGCTTCAAAGAAATTCCAAGAGACAAGTTGAGCACTCAAGAAAAGCTGTCTCATCAATTCTCTTGACAGCATAAAAGCACTCTATAGTGAAACACGGACATGACTGGTCAACCCAAAAAAGTGATTGAGAAGACATGTTCCAAATGTGAAGTTTTAGGAATACCTTTACAACTTATTTCACGTATATTTGCCTTATTTTGCATGAAGAAGATTGGTATGATTTTTTAAGTATGTAAGGCTAAAACACTTCTATCACTGATATAAAACAAAAATGGTAAGTGGTAAGACAGCACGGCAGGGACCTTTCCCTTACAGAGGTACCAGCTGAGCCATCAGGGAAGCGCATAAAAGAGGCGCATCTTACAATCAGGTCGGAGACTCAGGGAAGCACGCCGTCACGGGAAGGCTGAACAACCTCACGTCCAGAGCAGAGTTCTGTCTTCAAAGGTTATAGAGAACCACTGCTTTAGTTCTATGTTCAAATCCTTAATTTATCACTCTAATTTTCTCCACTATTCTTGCCTGGAAAATGCCATGGACAGAGAAGCCTGGAGGGCTACAGTCCATGGTGTCACAAAAAGAGTCAGACATGACTTAGCGACTAAACAACAACACCATTTTCTTTAATCCGTTAGTTTCATTTATAGTAAATCTATAAAGGTGGCGCTAGTGGTAAAGAACCCACCTGCCAATGCAGGAGACACAAGAGACACAAGTTCAGTTCCTGAGTCAGGAAGATCCCCTGGAGGAGGAAATGGCAACCCACTCCACTATTCTTGCCTGGAGACTCCCACTGACAGAGGAGCCTGGTGGACGACAGTCCACTGGGTTGCAAAAGAGTCGGACACGACTGAGTGACTAAGCACAGCACATTTAGCATAAATATATCTATATCTATACACATATATGTATAGATATACATAATTCATAAACTCCTGGAAGCCATGTTCATTTTTTTTTTTACTGGTAAGTGTACATAATTAAAAGGGCTTTCTAGGTGGCACAACGGTAAAGAGCCTGCCTGCCAATGCAGGAGATGGAAGAGACGCAGGTTCAATCCCTAGGTCAGGAAGATCCCCTGGGGGTGGGGGGCATGGCAACTCACTCCAGTATTCTTTCTTGAAGAATCCCATGGACATAGGAGCCTGTGGTGGGATACATGCCATAGGGTCACAAAGAGTCAGACACAACTTAAATGACTTAGCATGAATGTACATAATAAAAAGTTCAGTAGTCTCTGCATTTATAGGCATTTCAGTGGTCCGTATGATACATTTTATATGAAAACAGCATTATTCAACATTTCCCCACTTGGTGGCACCAAAAAATTTAAATGTCTGCATAAATAATTGTGCCTAGAGGTTCTGTTTTTTTTTTTTTAATTTAAAAAGTAGCAGATTCTCTTTCAATTTAAGCTGAAAACACTATGTAAGACAACATGTCATTTGATGTTCTTCTAAAATTGAGTGCTCCATCATCTGGCTATTCCTTCAGATGTGGTACAGTGGATAGTATCTTGGTAAAATTTAAATAATCAACTAGTTTCTGAACTAAACAATGTGTATCTAAGTAATTCATACTCAACTGATACATATATTACAAAAGCTTCTGTAGTTTCAATACTAAGAGCTACCGATTCTAGAACAGACATGATTTTACCTTTAATAATTTCTTGTACTCAGGGTCAAGGGCTTCCCTAGTGGCTCAGCAGGCAAGAATTCCCCCGCAATGCAGGAGACACAAATCAATCTATGGGTCAAGAAGATCCCCTGGAGAAGGATATGGAAACCCACTTCCAGTGCTGGAAAATGCCATGGACAGAGGAGCCTGGCATGCTGTAGTCCACAGGGTCGCAAGGAGTCAGATATGACTGAAATGACTCAGCACACACGCACAAGGGTATTTTAACCAAGCCAGTATGATCATTATACTTGGTTTGATGGCATACATGATAGCTTTCAGTTTCCATTTCAATATAAAATATATGAGTTTGAAAAACTTACTTTAACAATAATATTGCTCCTGTAGGGAAGCTCTCTTTCAAAGAGTTTTAATCATTTCCCACATTTTCCCCACCCCCATTCATCAGCCCCACAGCTTAATTTCGACCCACTAAAGCAACACTGTTACAATGTTAGTCAGAACCTATTAACTTTTCCATTCAGAAACTTCCATTGGCTTCTCATCTAAGCAGAATAAACTCCAAAATCCTAGGCATGGGCCACAGGCGTGCAGAGCCTGCCCTCTGGCTGCTCCTCCAGGCACTCACCTCCTCCCCCGACCGCACCAGCCTGAGCACAGCACGGTGCCCTCCCCAGAAGCCTGCACTGCCCTCCCCGCACAGCTCTGCCCGTCCACCTCAATCCAATCGCTGCTCAGAGGTCAGAGACGCTACTTCCGGCCCTCGCCGCCGTCTGTGCTCTCTATCTTCACAGCATCTGCCTTTTGACTGTCAGAAGACAATTTTCCGTGGTCTCTCACTTCTGCACATGTTGCAAGCCAGGCACTCACTGCCCTTTTTTTTTCTGCACGATCTTTTCAAGAATGTTTGTGCAGCAAAGAGCCTGGGAGACAAAGAAAGTATCTTCCTCTGGAGCAAGGGCAGGCATGTCTCCTGGCCACTGCAAAGATTCAGCTCCCCTGCACCCTGGGGTCCCAGCTCTGTGACAGTCCTGCTGGGTGCTCTTCACGTGTTCCTGTGAGGGTCGGGACTCAGGAAACTGGCGCAGGGCAACGTGGTCCCGTGGTCGCTGCCTCTGCTGGGAAACAGAAAGTTCTTCGTCCCCGACAAGCAGTCCTGCCTCTCTGACCAACACCCATGGAACTACAGCAGTCAGGGAAAGTCTCAGATTCCTCTTGGTTCCTGATGAAGATCGCACTTGTTAGTTTCCTCTATTTCTGATCATTTCTCTTGACTAATCCTTCACTGACTGCAATATCCTCATTACCCTAGTTTTCAGAGCAGTTTACAAAAAGTATCATTTGATGTGGACCTTTAAAAATCCTTAAGAAAAATTCACATCTAATGGGGAAGAAATTGACCCACAAAGGGTAAAACACAAACATACGATCAGCGTAACAGGTCACAGGGCAGCAGAGTCCAGGCAGGTCTATCTCTATTATGTTATTAACTTGTGACTGTTTCCTAAAAGACAATTCTCCTGCTGCACATACATTGTGTCAGATGGGAGGTTAATTCCCCAGATATCTTCCTTGTATAGCAAACATGAAAAAAGCAAAAATGGCAATGAGTAAGAAAACTGAGTACTCAAATAAGCACCTGAAAGATACTAAAATGTGCATATTTCAGACTTCTTTTATTACACATTATGACACTTGAATGATTATCTAACAAAACTAGATTCTGCTATCTAATAGCCCATTTCTTTTATGTTCCAAGGAAGACGTTCGAACAATCCCCAAAATATTTTCTTTATAACCCGTATTTTCCATCTTTGCAACTTCATTAATCTGAAAAAGGCTCTATACAGTTTAAAGCTTCTGCACAACTTTCTTTTGGGAGGCAGGCAAGAAGCATTTTTACTAGCTTTTCCTCTATAATTTGAGCAAAAAATGGAAAAAGCTGTCTGTACACAAGTTAGTGAGGCTATTATAATTCATGTCATACCATTCCCAGAGAGACTGAAGAAGAAAAGAAAAAAAAAACAAGTCTCTGAAAGTGTAAGATTAGATTCTTTATACTGGAGAAATATCAAGTTATGAAAAATACCTGACTTTAAAAGCCCTGTATCCCCAAATGGGCTTTCCCAGTGGCTCAGCAGTGAAAGAAACCTGCCTGCAATGCAGGAGACGTGGGTTAGATCCCTAGGTCGGGAAGATCCCCTGGAGGAGGAAACGGCAACCCACTCCAGTATTCTTTCCAGGAAAAACTGATGGACAAAGGAGCCTGGAGGTCTATACAACCCGTCCACAGGGCTGCAAAGAGTCGGACACAGCTGGGCAACTGAGCACACACACATGCATGCACGCTAACTCACTTCAGTGAGTCCGGCTCCGCGACCCCACGGACTGCAGCCTGTCACACTCCTCTGTCCGTGGATCCTCCAGGCAAGAATACTGCCGTGTGGGCTGTGCCGGAGCGGGGTGCTGTGCCCTCCTTCAGGGGATCTTCCCTACCCAGGGACTGAACCCCCATCTCTTACGTCTCCTGCATTGGCAGGTGGGTTCTTCACTGCCAGCATCATCCCCAAATAGGATGAATCTACTGAATTCATTCTAATATGCTTATAAATCACTAAATCTACTACTGCATAGTATACCACTATGTATATAAGTATATAAGTATACCATATACATGTATATAAGTATACCATAGTATATACTTCAAGGCCACAACTTATAAAATTTATTTCTGAACACTAAATTCCACAAATACAGATAAAATGACTAAGTAATTAAACATGTACCCTCTTCTCAAGAAAAATGAAGAAAGTACTAAGTATTAAAGAGGAAAACAGAGCCAAATTAAATATATTAATAAGGCAAAAACTGCTTCATAAAGTGATTCTTTAATTATAACTCAATTATCACCATCACACTTACTGTGTAGATTATAGCTGCCAACATTCCAATCAAGGTCAGAGAACTAATGGAAAATGACAAGGCAGCTAAACCATCTGCAAAGGAAGAAAAACAATGTTAAATACGTATAGCTATTCAAATGTTTATATTCAACAAATCAATATAAAAATTGGGTTTCTCACACATTCCAAAGGAATAAACCCCATAGGCATTATTATCCTGTTCTTGAAGTGCTAACTTCAAATGGAAAAGTTTTAAAATAGTTCTTCATAAATGGAATTTTTTTTTTTCCATTTATTTTTATTAGTTGGAGGCTAATTACTTTACATCATTGCAGTGGGTTTTGTCATACATTGAAATGAATTAGCCATGGATTTACATGTATTCCCCATCCCGGTCCCCCCTCCCACCTCCCTCTCCACCCGATCCCTCTGGGTCTTCCCAGTGCACCAGGCCCGAGCACTTGTCTCATGCACCCAACCTGGGCTGGTGATCTGTTTCACCCTAGATAATATACGTGTTTCAATGCTGTTCTCTTGAAACATCCCACCCTCGCCTTCTCCCAGAGTCCACAAGTCTGTTCTATACATCTGAGTCTCTTTTTCTGTTTTGCATATAGGATTATCGTTACCATCTTTCTAAATTCCATATATATGTGTTAGTATACTGTAATGGTCTTTATCTTTCTGGCTTACTTCGCTCTGTATAATGGGCTCCAGTTTCATCCATCTCATTAGAACTGATTCAAATGAATTCTTTTTAATGGCTGAGTAATATTCCATGGTGTATATGTACCACAGTTTCCTCATCCATTCGTCTGCTGATGGGCATCTAGGTTGCTTCCATGTCCTGGCTATTATAAACAGTGCTGCGATGAACATTGGGGTTCCCGTGTCTCTTTCAGATCTGGTTTCCTCGGTGTGTATGCCCAGAAGTGGGATTGCTGGGTCATATGGCAGTTCTACTTCCAGCTTTTTAAGAAATCTCCACACTGTTTTCCATAGTGGCTGTACTAATTTGCATTCCCACCAACAGTGTAAGAGGGTTCCCTTTTCTCCACACCCTCTCCAGCATTTATTGCTTGTAGACTTTTGGATAGCAGCCATCCTGACTGGTGTGTAATGGTACCTCATTGTGGTTTTGATTTGCATTTCTCTGATAATGAGTGATGTTGAGCATCTTTTCATGTGTTTGTTAGCCATCTGTATGTCTTCCTTGGAGAAATGTCTGTTCAGTTCTTTGGCCCATTTTTTGATTGGGTCATTTATTTTTCTGGAGTTGAGCTGCAGGAGTTGCTTGTATATTTTTGAGATTAATCCTTTGTCTGTTGCTTCGTTTGCTATTATTTTCTCCCAATCTGAGGGCTGTCTTTTCACCTTGCTTATAGTTTCCTTTGTTGTGCAAAAGCTTTTAAGTTTCATTAGGTCCCATTTGTTTATTTTTGCTTTTATTTCTAAAATTCTGGGATGTGGGTCATAGAGGATCCTGCTGTGATTTATGTCGGAGAGTGTTTTGCCTATGTTCTCCTCTAGGAGTTTTATAGTTTCTGGTCTTACATTTAGATCTTTAATCCATAAATGGAATTCTTAAAGATCTTTCAGAGTAAGACTTTTTTTCCCTCACACCTCTTAAAATTAAAGGAAATCACTGCCTAATTATTGAGCCTAAAAAGAAATCAGCAGAATATTAGATGCTCAAAAGTTGGCCAAAAAATTCCCTGGCCTTTCTCAACGGCAGACCTTGAGAAATAACATGATAGGAATGTCACTGCCCTTGACCCTTTCTTCCCCTTCTGCTCGATCTCAAACTCCTAGTTTCTTTGTTCTTAACTTTCAAGTAAGTTTGAAAAATATAGCTTATAACTAAAATCGTAAAGAGTTTATTTCCCTCTTTAACATGAAAGGAGCTAGCATTCTCCCTTAGGGAAAAAAGAACACAAACAAATAGGAAATTGTTTCAAAGATAATATGAAAACAGAAATACTATGCTACCAAGTTATATTTAAGAAACCTCTTAAAGGAAGGGGCTTCCCCCCGTGACATGAGCAGGTTACGAATCTCCCTTCCCCATCTCTGCTGTTTCAGCGTATAGTGTGCCCTGGACATCCTCTACTGTGTGGGATGTACTACCTTATCTGTGGCTATCACTCCTTTTGCCTTCATGATGGTGTAAGTTGATCTTTTGTGACTTTTCAAAGAAACAGTTGGATAACTAATAAGAACCTGCTGTTGAGCACAAGGAACTCTATTCAATACTCTTTAAAGGCCTATATGGGAAAAGAATCTTAAGAAAAAAAAAGAGTGGATACATGTATATGTATAGTGGATTCAATTTGCTATATACTTGAAACTAACATAACATCGTAAATCAACTAAAGTTTTTTTAAAACAAAAAAATAAAAAAAAAAAAGGAAGGGGCTTCCCTGGTGGCTCAGACAGTGAAGAGTCTGCCCACAATGCAGGAGACCCTGGTTCGATCCCTGGGTCAGGAAGATCCCCTGGAGAAGGAAATGGCAACCCACTCCAGTCTTCTTGACTGGGAAATTCCATGGGTGGAGAAGCCTGGTGGGCTACAGTCATGGAGTCACACAGAGTCAGAGATGACTGAGACGCTAACACTTTCACTTTCACTTTAAAGGAAGACCAAAGAGTGGGTTGTGAGAGTGACACTTTCAAATAAACATGCCAGATAATGCAATGAAATACTACGCAAATTTGAGAATTCTTAAATATTAAGAATATTAAAATGTATATATTCTTAAATATTCTAATACTATTAAATATTATTCTAATAGTCAAATTAGAACAATATAACTGTTCTAGTTTTAATACAGGTTCTACTAGACCAGTATTGACCTAGTTTAAATGCAGGTCCTGTGGAACCAAATATAATTATTAAATTAATTCATTGTATCAATATCAAATAATAATAGAATTAGAATGACCTACCTTACTAAAGCTAACATCTCAGTTTTAAAATATAATACTTAGGGAGAACATATTACTAACAAGTTCAGAAACTATGCAAGGCAAATTTTTAAGTCTCAATTTTTTAAACTGTAATACTACATTTTACCAAATCAAAGACACTGACGCCATTACTTTTTTGATCTTACTAGAAGTATCAACAAAAAGTATTCATACAACTAGGAGAGGCCTGGCATTTGGCTAATAGCAATTTTAAAATATTTTCACTTATAAAATGCATCATAAAATCAGAGATATGAAGACATGTAAAAATATGCATCCCAGAATTGATAAAAAGGACTGCTCTGCTAAGATATCTGGCCAATCAAAAAAATTAATATTACTAACAGTAATAAACAAAATGTACTCTAAAATATAGTGTTTAAGATTTGAAGTTTTTTAGATGTTAATTAAGACTAAAGAGATTACAGCAAGTAATTATATAGATAGCATCACAACAGTAATGCTACCTGTAAAACCATAATGCTACCTATATAATTACTGATTCAAGTTATGTGTGTGTTATGTGTTAGTCACTCACTCATGTCCAACTCTTTGCGACCCCATTTACTGTAGCCTGCCGGGCTCCTCTGTCCATGGAATTCTCCAGGCAAGAACACTGGGGTGGTAGCCATTCCCTTCTCCAGGGGATCTTCCCAACCAGGGATTGAACCTGGGTCTCCTGCACTGCAGGCAGATTCTTTACTGTCTGAGCCACCAGAGATTCGAGTTAGACTAGCACTCAAAGACCAGCAAAACTTAAGAGAAAAATGTTCAGGGCAAAAGCGCAGTTACTCAAGAGACCTGAAGGAGTTAACTGCAGGAAAAGAAGCAATTTATTTCTCAGCAACAGGGTCAGATACATAAATCCTGACATGCAGTATCATTAGATGCCAGCCCTGCTACCATCTTCTTGCTGGTATCAGCAAGATGTTAATGGACCACAATTTACAAGATGAAATCTTAAGTGGAAAGTAAGAAAATTAAGAAGTTGTATAGCAAAGACTTTAAGACTTAATTTAATCATCATTTAATACTGTATCTAGGTAAAGAGAAAGAGGTGCTAATCAAAGAATGTACAGTATCTATTAAAAAGAATAAATATAAAAGCAGTAAGAATTTTCCATGTTTATACATTTTCTAGGTTTCTTTGAAAATAAAGTTACTATGTTCAAATGTACATGAAATTTTGGATAACAAAATACCCATTCTTATTTAATAGCAGTTTCTAATACTAACTATATTTTTTAATGATAAAAAACTTTCTTAAACTGACTTCCTAAACCTGCTTTCTTTCCCCCTCTAAAAATGCAGGCTATGCTGATTAACGTAAGGAAAACTTTTGGAAAAGGAACTTCAAAATGTTTTGGTGAGGTAAATTTGTAATAAAGTATCATTTCATCCACATAAAACCTCTGTAATTGGGGAATTCTCTGATGGTCCAGCAGCTAGGACTCTGTGCTTCCACTGCAGGGGACACAGGTTTGATCCCTAGTTGGGAAACTAAGATCCTCAAGCTACAAACAGCAAAAACAGCAAAAAAAAAAAAAAAAAAAAAAACTCTCTGATTTATATTCCACAAAAAATTACCTAATCATGATCAAAGAGCAATATAAGGTTCTTTCAGTTTAAAAATAAAAACCGGTATCTAGCATATTTAACATATTACTCTATATTATCCTAAGTGAATTAAAGACCACACAGAAATTATAAAACCTTTACTGCTAAAATACTTTGAAGATCACCTTTTCTTTTCAACATGGTACTTTTATAAAGAAGTCAAGAGACTGACTGTATAACAGCTAGATGGATTCCTCATCTGCCTAGCATCCTTTAAACTATGAGTTAAAAGAATTATGAAGTTAAATTCTTAGCAGTGTAAAAACAGACAACTTCCAAAGAAAGTCACAAGTATCATGAAATATGAATTACTATGGACTTTTTTTTTTAAAGAATACTTACGACTACTTCCAAGTTCTTCAAACAGGAACTTCACCTTTTCCCACTCTGTAGAATTTTTGTTATCAGGAAGATTCAATGGAATGAAAGCACTACAAAGGAGAAAGTAACTCTGCTTAATGGTTTTAAAGACAAAAGGTTAAATAAAAGGAAATGACCTGAAACTCCATTTCTAGTAATTTTTTTAAGGTGAGGTCAACTTTCCCCCTCAAAGAATTAGCAAATCCAATCTACACCATGTACAGAGGGGTGTGAGAAGTTTCCCATACGCGTGTTTAACATATCACACATTTGTTCTCATGATTTAATTTCTATATTTGGTATAATTAGTTTCCTTTGTAACCCTATGTATTTTTTGCATTTAAAGCTATTTTGTCCACAGCACAAAAAGGTTAAGAATCTCTTGTTAAATCAGAATAGAAGTCATGCTTTCAGTATATTTAAATGCATTAAAACAAATAGAAGGAAAATACACTAGAATTAACAGTAAATATCTCATTGTAGAACTAGGTGTGATTTTTACTTTCTTAGTATTTTTCTGGGTATGTCAAGATTCTGTCTAATATACATAATGAAGTAGTTTCACTTATTTTTCAATCTATAACTGAAAAAAGAGACAGACAAAAAAAGAAAAGCACTTCATTATCTAGCTCAGAAACAAAACAAGAGACTAAAAACTTAGTACCCCCTTTAGATTGTGCATGTGAACTCTACCTCCTAATACTACCTCCTATCCAACATAATCTTAATTGTAAGCAAAGACCTATTTTTTTGTAAAGGGGTAATACTGAATGAGTTCAATAATATATTAAGATAGTTATTCTGATAATGTATGCAAGTAAAACAAAGTAATTACTCTAATTAAAAAAAATTTTTAGATATTTGCTTGCAGGCAGATTCTTTACCAGCTGAGCCACAAGGGAAGCCCAAGAATACTGGAGTGGGTAGCCTATCCCTTCTCCAGCAGATCTTCCCGACCCAGGAATCGAACTGGGGTCTCCTACACTGCAGGTGGATTTGTTACTAACTGATCTATCAGGGAAGCCCTTACTTGGTAAAACCTATATTTCTTATCCTTATAAAAAGATGAATCAGCAGACACATCACAAGGTTATTTAAATTTCTATTTGCACTGACACCAATTCACTACACTCATCTCAATCTGTGAGACTTATTTTTCACTACTTTTACAGAGAAAAGTGATTAGCCACAAGGAAAGAGCAAGACATGTAAAAAATTCATCATTTGTTTCCCTGGTTATAAAATCAAAAACAATTACATAAAACCATACAGATGGAATCAAAAAATAAAGAAAAGCTCATGCATAATATACTGCTATAATGACATTAACTTATATATTAGCACTTGAATAAAAATGTAAATCAAAAAATATATAAATCAAGCCAGAAAATCTATATAACATTCTTCTATTTTATTTTGATGCAGTTTTTTCAGAGATATACATACATATACATATATGGAAAAAATTGTACATGTATATTTTTGAAAAGTATATTTGAACTTGTTAGTTGGAATACGCGGAAAAATTCTATATTGCACAAAATATCATCTCCAGTACTATTAAGATGGAAATATGTATTACAAATATCTAAAAACAGCATTCCTACTTAGAATATTCAGTATCTATATTAGTTTTATGTAACCAAAGGTTCTGTCCAATAGGAGAAGAAAGTAATTAACTCTTGCTCTTGACACTTTCATGTTCAAACTGCTGAACAGGGCTCTTAAACAATTCAAATATTTAGAGAAACCTGACGTGCCCCAAAACAAAAATCTTAAATGGCCCAAACTACTGTCAGAATAACTTCAAGAAAACACTCACTCTGAAGCAACCAGCAGAGTGCTAACATTCTAGCACTATTATCTTAGGTAGAACTAGAGGGAACAGCTAAAGCATAAACCCTAAGCATGTTCATCAGCCGCCTTGCCACCAGGACCATGTAGTCCAAAAAGACATAAAATACCTTCTCATAAACTAAGAGCAACGTCCATAAGCAGAATCCAAGAGTTATAACTAAGTATGTCTACATGTCATGGGTGGTTAACATTCAAAGCACTTAACAACGAATCTCGGGCTTCCCTGGTGGCTCAGATGGTCAAGCATCCGCCTGCAGTGCAGGAGACCCAGGCTTGACCCCTGGGCTGGAAGATCCCCTGGAGGAGGGCATGGCAACCCACTCCAGTATTCTGGCCTGGAGAATTCCATGGACAGAGAAGCCTGGCAGGCTACAGTCTGTGGGATGGCAAAGAGTCAGACATGAGTGAGAGACTTTCACTCACTTCCCAGGGCAAAGGCATTCACATGGCAACATACGCTGGCCTTGGTTCTGAAGACACATGCTGAACCAGGATTTACACTGACTGGGCCAAGGGTGGGGTAACTCAGGAGTAGCTGCTGACTCATGTGGAAGCATTTCAACCTTTTAACAACCAGAAGAGGTCAAGCAACGGTCACCAGTGAAACATCAGCCCCACAGAACTAGACTGAGACCTGCCGGGCAAGCACCTCCTGACAGATACAGAGGCCACTTCAGTAGGAAGAGCCCAGAATACAGACACTTCCACTCTGATGGGGAGGCATTCACTGACATAGTTATATGACTACCAGGTATTTACTGAATGGTGATGATACTAAAGAAACCAAAAGTGTAATGAGACTTGTGTGATTGAAAGCTACAGATATTTTCTTAACCTCAGTCTCTCTCTTTAAAAAAAAAAAAAAAAAATCCAGCAAACTGTTTATACCTTTATACAGTTATACCCATACAAGTATCTATTCTTTAATAAAATTCTTTTCCCATTTAGGTTATTATGGAATGTTGAGCCAAGTTCACTGTGCTGTACAGTAGGTCCTTGTTGGTTATCTATTTTAAATACAGTAGTGTATACACTAACTGAATCACTTTGCTGTAAACCTATAACTAACACATCATTGTTAATCAACTATACCCCAACACAAAGAAATGAATACAGAGAACCTCAACTTTCAAAGACACACAATACAAGATCAAGCTAAGAACTAAAATCCTCACAAGATTATAAATTTCCTTTCTGCTCTTAACAATAGTAAAACTGCTTAGAAAAAATCTTCAACACCCAATCTGAGTGAATTAGCTTAATACAGATTATCTCTTCAAGAAGAGACAAAGGAAAGGCTAATGAATTTCAGTAGATATGAAACTGAAACCATGAATTTAAGCAAAATTGAAAATAAGATTTTTACCTCCTACACTCAATCACCAAGTCACATTTATCTTCCGAACAGCCTACCTGTGTGTTCCTCTCTGCTCTCTGGAACTGCTCCAGTTCAGACTCTCACCTCCTACCTGAACTACGACAGCGGTAGCTAACTGACTGATCTTCCTACCCACCATCTGTGTCTCACTGACCAACTCCCAAATGCCCCTTTCCAAGCATCTTTCAGTGTTGCAAAAAATTCACACATATTTGCTTTCATGGGTACAAACACCAATATACCCATACCTGCACTGCCTTTCAGTTGCTCAGCAGGATAAAACTCAACGTCTTCAACTCTGTATGCAAGATTTGGAGCCCACCTACGTGGCTAAGGTCTGGTCTGTCACTTGCCAATACAAACACTTGAAATGCTATCTTACAATTTTTTTTTTCTTTTGTACTGAAGGATCAAGAAGAGATGGAAGGAATACATGGAAGAACTGTACAAAAAAGATCTTAATGAACTGGATAACTATCATGGTGTGGTCAGTCAGCCAGAGCCAGACATTCTGGAGCATGAAGTCAAGTGGGCCTTTGGAAGCCCTGCTGTTAATAAAGCTAGTAGATGCAATGGAATTCCAGTAGAGCTATTCAAAACCCTAAGGGATGAAATTGCTTTAAAAAAGTGCTGCACTCAATATGTCAGCAAATCTGGAAGATCCAGCGGTGGTCACAGGACTGGAAACGGTCAATCCTCATCCTAATTCCCAAGAAGGGTAGTACCAAAGAATGTTCTAACCATCAGACAACTACACTCATCTCCCATGGTAGTAAGGTCATGCTTAAAATCTTGCATACCAGGCTAGAGCATTACATGAACCAAGAACTTCCAGGCATCCAAGCCGGGTTCAGATAAGGCAAAGGAACCAGAGTAACATTGCCAACATTTGCTGGATCATAAAGAAAGCAAGGGAATTCCAGAAAAACATCTACCTCTGTTTCATCGACTACGCTGAAGTCTTTGACTGTGTGGATCATAACAAAATGTGGAAAACTCTTACAGATGGGAACACCAGACCATCTTATCTGTTTCCTGAGAAATCTGTATGCGGGTCAAGAAGCAACAGTTTGAACCCTGTACGGAACTAACTGATTGGTTCAGGACTGAGAAAGCAGTACCACAGGGCTGTCTGCGGTCACCCTGTTTATTTAATCTATATGCTGAGCACATCATAAGAGATGCCAGCTGGATGAGTTATAAGCTGGAATCAAGACAGGCGGGAGAAACATCAGCAACCTCAGATATGTGGAGGATACCACTCTAATGGCAGAAAGCAAAGAGGAATTAAAGAACCTCTTGATGAGGGTGAAGGAGGAGAGTGAAACAGCCAGCTTAAAACTAAATATTAAAAAAACTAAAATCATGGCATCTGGCCCCATTACTTTATGACAAATAGAAAGGGAAAAGGTGGAAGTAGTGACAGATTTCCTTTCTTGGGATCTAAAATCACTGTGGATGGTGACTGCAGCCATGAAATGAGAAGATGTTTGCTTCTTGGCAGGGAAGCTATGACAAACCTAGACAGTGTGTTGAAAAGTAGAGACATTATTTTGCCAACAAAGGTCTGTATAGTCAAGGTTATGGTCTTCCCAGTGGTCATGTACAGATGTGAGAGTTGAACCTTAAAGAAGACAGACTGCCAAAGAATTGATGCCTTTGAACTGTGGAGCTGTAGAAGACTCCTGAGAGTACCTTGGACTGCAAGGAGATCAAACCAGTCAACCTTAAGGGAAACTAACCCTGAATACTCATTGGAAGCACTGATGCTGAAGCTGAAGCTCCAGTATTTTGGTCACCTAATGGGAACAGCCAACTCACTGGAAAAGTCCCTGA